GATCAGCCCCCCGAAGGGGCGGCCCGTGCGCCTCAGGGGGTCGTCGTCCTCCTCGGCCTCGTCCTCCACCACCTTCAGCTTCAGCAGAGCTGGGGGCGAGCGGATGCACAGACAGACAGTGAGACCCCAACAGCTGGCACACCCCAAACCCCGCCCTGGCCCCAGCCCTGGCACCTTTCTCCTCAGGGGACTTGGGCTCCAGCAGCAGCCTCCGCTCCTGCTCCATCCTCTTCTTCAGCATCTCGCGCTGGAAGTGGGCGACACTGCGCAGCAGCTCCTCGCCCTGCACCTCGGAGGGCGGCAGCACCACGCTGCAGTCCAGGAACTCGTTGATGGCATTCAGAAGGTCGTGACGGTCGTCGGCCAGGTAGGCAGCCTCATGGAATTGCTGGGGGGGCCACGGTGGGGTCAGTGCCCACACTACAGCCCTGTGGCTCCTGAGAGCCCAGTATTCCGCAGCCCTGACCCCAAGGCCTCAGTATGCCCCTGGTCCTGGCACAGCCCTGAGCCCCAACCCTGGCACAGCCCTGGCCCCCACCCCAGGGTGGCCACAAGACCCCAACACAGCAAGGCTAACTGGCATCCTGGCATTGCCCCACACTCCCTAGCCCTGACAGGACTCCAGGCCCTCATCCTGGCACTTCTCTGAGATCCTAGCATTGGCATAATCTGAGCCCTCCAGCCCATCCCATCTGAGTCCTGACCTGCCTGCCCCATCATGGCCTCAAGCCCCCAGTCCAGTCCTGTCTCAAGAGCATAGTCCCAGCATGACCCTGAAACTCCAGCCGGGCACAAAAACCCTGAGACCCCTGCCCAGCACAGCCTCAAGCTCCTGAACCCCATCCTGGCACAGCCCCAAACCCGTCAGCTGGGCACAGCCCGAGCCCCCCGCCCACAGGACCCCCGTGCCCCGGGGCAGGGACCTTGTCAGACATGAGTGTGGAGATGGAGCGCCCAATCTCGTGATAGTCCATGTGGGTGCTGCTGGGGCCCAGCAGCACGAAGAGGAACCGCACAGGCACGGGCACCTCCAGCACTGCGTCCAGCTCCACAGCCTCCTGCAGCCGCACAAAGGCCATGGTGGGCTGGTCCAGGAACTCCACACAGCCTGGGGGGCACAGGGGGCACAGGGGTCACCAGGGTGCCTGGCATGTGGTGCCCATACCCCTGGCCTGCCCACCCCTCCATACCCACGAGCACCACTGTGGCCTCAGCGTTGTCCGGGATCTTCTCCAGCAGCTTCAGCTCGTGCTTTGACTTGGAGCGAGTGATGCCGGCCGGGGGTGTGGGGGTGAGGACCTCCCTCTGTGGGGCAGAGTGGGGGACAGGGTCAGGGCCCTTACAGGGCACAGGCAGGCCAGGGGCCGTGGCANTCCGCTCCTTCTTGCTGATGATCAGCCTGGAACCAGGGCAGACAGTTGGCACAGCACGGGCTCCCCCTGCCCCGCCAATGCCCCCTGCCTGCCCCCAGTGCACTCACGTGGTGATCTGGGTCTCCATGAAGATGAGGATGAAGACAAGGATGGCGGGGAGGCCGCTGGCCACCATCATCCACACGGGGAAGGCACTGTGCACACCCAGCGGGTTGATCACCCAACCCCGCTTGTCTGGGGCTGTCACCGAGAACCCACTGGGCACACTCAGCTTCTGCAGGGGGAGTGGGACACAAATGCTCAGAGGGCACTGGCTGTGCCCCATAGAGTGAGGGGGCCATGGAGGCACCGGGACCCCCAGAAGCCATAGCGAGAGAGACAGAGAAGGTCAGATGCTGGCACCCGTAGCCAGGACAGTGGGATGGGCACAGGCATCCCTAGGAGGGTGGGGTTAGGCGTGCTGTCCAGGCAGTGGAGGGGTGGCTGCTCACCTGTGTGTAGGTGTCCTGGATGCTGTAGTCCACCAGCACCATCACCAGGATGGCAATGGGCACCCCAAAGTCCCCGATGAGCCTCCGGATCTGGGGGAACACCAGTGCCAGCCTGGCCACAGCCCTCCTGGTTCACCCCACGGCCCCCAGGCTCAGCCCAGTCCCCCTGGGCTCAGCCCAGCCCCACGGCCCCCAGCCCCACGGCCGTCCCCACGCACCCGTCCGGGGAAGAAGCGGCTGTTCTTGAACTTGCGCAGGAAGAAGGCGATGAAGAAGGTGCCAGCCATGAGCACGAGTGAGAGCAGCGCCGTGTTGGGCTGCCCCGTGACCTTGGTGGCACCGCGGGCAGCCGGGCTGTTGGCCAGGGCTGTGGTGTTGGCCATGGCCACAGTGCCATTGCCCCAGGCCTCGGCCGAGCTGTTGATGCTCAGGCAGCCATGCAGAGGGTGCTCCTGGAAGATCTGGAGCAGGAGGGTGGGATGTTCAGCCCCATCCTGCCTGGCCCTGCCCCAGCCCCTCCGGCTCACCACCACAGCTCACCTTGGCCAGCTTGGAAAAGGTCTCGTAGATGAAGATGAGGGAGATGAGAAAGGCAAAGATCTCCTGGGTGAAGCGGGAGACGAAACGCACCAGGAAGCTGCCCTCAAAGGCCACCATGACCAGCACAATGAGGATGAGCCAAAAGCCGATCCAGACACGCCCCACCAGGTACTCCAGCTCATTGGACGTGCAGAACTGCCCAGCCGTGCAGACAGACAGATGGACAGACAGGTGTCAGGATGGTCACAGGGCTGGACAGAGCCTGGGCAGTGGGGCAGAGCCCTGGCAGGAGGCCTGCGGGGATGTCTGCCCTGGGCAGTGGGGCTGGG